AAAAGTCAATTACACATGTAAATGTATCTTTAACAGTGAGAAATGCTATTGATAGTTTTCGACTGATGAAGAACAAACATTGGGAGTTAACAAAACTACAGCTCTTTAAAACGGTCTCTAATTAACTGTATTTTTAAGATGATATGTTAAATACTGGATTAGCCTGCACTTACCAGTCCTAAATGACAAAAAGAGACAACTGTCAGTGAGAAAGAGATTTCCTAAAACATCCAAGTTGTTTTGATATCCAAGAACTGCAAGGCATTGCTATTAAAATGACTAAAATGCTGTTCTCTAGTCTGAAAAAGTAAATATGTAACTGGAAAAGAGGAGCATATTTTTTTTGCTGACAATTTCTGAAACTGAAATAGTTCTGAGAAAAAAATCTAAGATTTAAGATCTAAGATCATCTAAGATCTAAGCGTTACTACATATAAAACTACATATTCAGGTATATCTGAATATATGAATGTAAATCTGATCACGTAGTTATACATTTTTCTATTTTTATAGCTAAATATGCAGAAATAACTATATCACACAACCATATAAATATTGTTTTATAAAACCATTTTTATGTATAGTTCTGTTTGGTGACGTTAGTGGTACAGAATTACACTAACTTTATGAATATCTCTGAGCAAGCACATGGAATCATCAATAACAATGACTAATGATCAGTGTTGGGCAAGTTACTTCCAAAATGTAATGCATTATATATTACTAGTTACTGTCTTTTGAAAGTAATTAGTTACATTACAATATTACTGTCTCTGAATTGTAATGCGTTACACTACTTTTGAGTTACTTTCACCAAAATATCCACAGAAGTATTATAAAATGCCAAAATGTATATGCTGCTCATTCTACATCCAGTGGAGGGTAATGTGGTAGGTCTATATAGCATAAAATATATGAAATCATATTTAGATACCGGTATGTAGGTCTACATTAATGTTACGTTTTAGTTTAGGTTAAAAAAAACATAAGCACAAATCGCATTATTACATTCATAAATAACACCGGTAAATAAAGCGAAATATTATCATGTACAAACAATAAACACAATACCTAGCCTATAGGCTATTTTGAACGGTTTCAGAAGAAAACAAGAATGAAAAATATAAGTTGCTAAACAAGCCAAAATGAATTAGGCTAATTCAATGCGAAACTGAAAGCAAACGGCGTTCTCGCGCAGCCTACCTCTCTCATTTGGCATTAATCCAATTAAATGTGTTCATATTTGTGATGTATTTGAATACTAAACTATTATTTACTATGTAAACCAAGCTTACTTAACGCACTTAAAAAACATCCTCGTCACATGGCAAATGTGTGTTTGGCCCGAGCTCAGGCTGATCAGCACGGATTGTACTATGCATTAGACGCACTATTTAAATTAAACAGTGTATTTATATGTTTGGTTGACTGTATTTGATTCTGATAATGAACAGGCTGCAACGTTTGCAATGTTGTACGTGTGTGCGTGAGGCGCCGGCGCGACCGAACAGCGGAAACAAACAACAAAAAAATACTCTGTTATTTTTGGTCATACAGATCATTCGAAACTGCAATGTGTTTACTTTATTTCTGTCATCTCGGTTTCCTTTCCGTGGACTTTCGTAGAGCGCCGCGCCACACAAATAGCCTATGAACCAAACTCAGCAGCATATGTCTCAGTCTTTTCCTTTCTTTCAAGGGCACCTATTATGCAAAATTAACTTTTACATCTGATCTGATCGTCAAGGTGTAGTCAAGAACATCTGTGGTGTAAATCACAGTGTCTGGCATCTTATCTTACTTTCATCGTACTAAGGAAGTCACAAATACACCACAGGAAGCTGCAGAATTAACACCTGCACGAACAAAACAAACAAGACACAGACAGTTATTCACCTAAAATACTAAAAGAAAACATAATTTTTAAACAGCATTATTTTGTGACAAAAGTTATGGCTTTCCAGTTAACAAACATGCATGCACCAATAGATTGCACTGTGGTGCTCATGGAAACGGTACATGTTTGAATACAGTTTGCAACAGTTTCCCATCATTTCCTGTTCCCTCTCTTTCTCTCTGCACCATTTAAAATAAATAAAGAAGCATTTGATGCAGATGCACAAAGCATTATAATCGCAATGGGGTAATAAAAGAAAACCAAATACTATGAGTTTTCCTAAGCTATGTGTGCTCATGTGCATTTCTACTTAAGAACAAAGTAATCTGCAGTCTTTTAAATAAAACATTCCTCAGACCCGTGTGAAAAGGGCATCTTATTTTGAAATCTCTCAAAATCTCTCTAAACACAACAGATACAAAGACTTGCAAAATATTTTTTTTTTTTATTGAAAAAATATGTTTTACTTTTTTACTTCAACCCAAGATCAATCTGTTTTAAAAGACCCTGAGTTGTACCTGTTCTTTGTTGAACAAATGGTTCAAATAGTTCAATCATGTGTACACAAAAGATAGCTGAAGTCCCTGCCCTTGATCTCAAGTCATCATCTTCATCATCTCCACCATTCCGAAAGCAATCACGACCTCAACATGAATAAAGGCTGCGGTTTACAGTATGAAGCTATTGAAATCTGAAGCTCTGAGATGGGAATAAGACTGACAGGGATGGTAAGATTAAAAGCTATTAAGTATTTGAGAAATTGGCATGTGAATGTGAAAATATCAGAACAGATGTTTAAGAAGCACTTGAATATAAAGTCACCCCCCCCCCCCCCCACACACACACACACAAAAAAAAAGAGGGAGAGGGAGAGGACAAAGAGGAATTGGGCACTGGATTTATGACCAGGCAGACCAAATATGCTGTATGTATTAGTGGTTTATGAACTTTAAAGTATTAAACTACACTGGTATTTCATCTCAGATGGCAGATAAAGCTTTTTCATATTTCACACTAAATGACAGAAACATATACTAAGTTTACATTATTTTATTGCAGAAGAGGTTAAGACTTGTCAACAGTTCATCAGGTTGCTCACCAGTTAATTCTCAATGTTAATGAAGTCAACCAGGGAAAAAAAAAATCCATTGAGACATTGCAGATAATTCTGTGTACTGATATCACAAAAATCGTGGCTGATGTTTGTGTTATTTCTAAAATATTCTACATCATAACGGTAACTGGCTGATCGTTAAACCACAACTTTTGCCCTGCCTTTTGTAATAAATTTTCTTAGGTGAGACTGCGATGCTAAGATCTTCATTTTCATTTTGCTGACTGCAGTGGATTTAGTAATTGAGTCTTTTAAAGTGAGTTATCCAGAGCCAAATTGAGGGCTGCACTTTGCAGTTTGAGACAGTCCTGACAGGACTATTGCTTACATGAAATATTCTTATTTTTCTTAGTCTTTTCTGTGCATGCAGAAATCGCAAACTGTTAGTAATTGCATCAAATTCTTATTTTTTCTGTCACAAACAAAATAGACCTCACCATTCAATGAAAAGATGCTGCAATCAACTTTGTACCTGTGCAGATGGATAAAGTGAAAAACGACAGGAATAGAAAACAAATCATGTATAACAAACATAATTTGCATTGCACTGGGTCTCTTCAAAAAGCAATATAATATCCTCACCTGCACTGCATCCAACCGAATATCTTTTGTATTAAAGCAAGTCTAATAATCCTTCTCTGCCTTGGCAGTAAAACCAGATTTGAGTGCATGCTCTGATTCATCATCATTCATCTATATAATAAATGATGGACGTATTTATAGAACTGACTAATTTACATTTATTATGTGGACGTCAGTCAAAGTGAAGAGTGGACATCAGTTTGTCTGAATGAAATCAATTAAATGTGTTTTCTTGTTCTCAATACAACCAGAAAAGCTTGCAAGGGTGTAAAAGTCTTTTTTGTTTGGAAGAGTAAAGTTTAATTGGCGAAGTTTACCAGCCTCATTTAAAGGGGTCATATGATGCAATTTAAATTTTTCCTTTCTCTTTGGAGTGTTACAAGCTCTTGGTGCATAAAGAAGATCTGTAAAGTTGCAAAGACTAAAGTCTCAAATCCAAAGAGATATTCTTTATAAAAGTTAAGAGTCAGCCACGCCTACCTAAAACGGCTCGTTCTAACACGCCCCCACATACCTACGTCACTATCTGGGAAGATTTGCATAACGCCGCCCAAATGTTCATGCAAAGAAAGAAGGTGTAACTTTTATTCTCGCTGTAGTTTTGTTGTTGCCGCCGCCATGTCGTAAAGTGTAAATCACACGCTGTGTGATTCGTTGTGAAAGCGAAACTACTTTGTTTGGCCTTCCAAAAGAGGAAGCACACCTCGCTTTTTTAGAACGATGAGCTTTGTAAAAATCGACGCGTTTCAGAAAGGCGGAGCATAGAGGAGAAACAATAATGTACAGTATGTGGAAAATAATGTGTTTTTTTAACCTTAAACCGCATACACAAATTTCATTACACCAAATACACAAAATAATGTTATTTTTAGCAGCATCATATGACCCCTTTAAAACATATTGAGGTATTTGGACATTCTGCATGACAGTCGCTTTGAGGATCACTGACAAAGGAAATGTGCATGTTTGTACTATTTTGGGTACATTTTACATTTTCTTTTATGATTTCTCATTCCACTTCGACAGGCATGATGCGAAAAGATTCCAGGTAAAAGCCATTTTTTCTGTCCAAGTTGAACGTGCAACTGCTGTGTGACCTGATGCAATCATAGGCAATCAAAATGCATTTAATGTGAAGTGGCAATTTTGGACCAATAAGATTTCTTAGTGGGCAGGGCTATGATGCGATGCCACAGAAATACAAACATGGTCACAGTATAGTTGGCCGCTAGTCAGATGTATTGGTAAAAAACTAAAATGTCATTCTATTTTGAAAAGGAATCCATTTTCATGCTGCTACAAATTAACATTCTGCAAGAAAAAACTTTCGTATGTAAACTGCAGCAGTGCATAATGCATCATATCATGAACAAGGTGAACAATTATCAGCGTTTGAATGAAACTCACCCAGGATGCTGACAGTTTCCCACACGGTTTTCCATGCTCCATTATTTCTCTGCATGTGGGAAGAGACGGATCATACAGAATAGTGAAATGAACTTCCCCTCCGTCTTGCACTCGACAGCAGCATCTCGCAGGAGATGGATCATGTGAGCTCCACTGTCTGTCACTTTCAATGACAGTCACCACATAGCATAAACTTCTGGAGTCGCTGTTGTCCATGTCACCAGAAATCACATCCTCTATTGAAAATGAATGACTTTGGTCACTGCACATCTGTTTGAACCCCCCTTTAAAACAAAAAAATCAGATTAACATATAAAAGATAACTTTTATTGCTTGCCATGTCACATCTGGTTAGGACATGAGCATGTGACAACTCTGTACTAATAACAGAACTTGACAACTCTGTATTAATAAAATAATTGGAAAAATGCATGAAATAGAGTCTAGCAAATGGAAAAGACTGTGCTGTTTCGCACAGTTCCAAATTATGATTAGTCATATTTTATTCCAATTCATCAAGTTGGATGGACAATGCTGGACTGAGATGTTGCCAAGTCCTTGAGAACTCATTTATTTGATGGTTTTGCTATTTGATTGCCCTTATGTAACTTCCTAACCTAATTTACATAACACACTACATTAATCTTGGACACAGGCACCCTGAGTAGGTGCATAATTAGCCTTGTATCAGTCCATTCTATTTCAGTTCTATTTCAGCAAATCACTCTCAGTATTTCGTGAGAGAGTGAGAACCATTATGTTTACATGCTGTAATAGACCACCACGGTGGTTGCTCTTGATTTGAAAAGATATCTAAAACATATGGACAAATTACTGCTACAGACAGTTAACGCAGATAAATGCCTTTTCCTTCAACATAATGGAACTATCGTACTCTATAATCGCAATATAATGAAACAAATCCACAAACTGGCAAATATAGACCCCCTTTTTCTCTCCTATATGATTATTTGCCTATTGAAAAAAAATCCAATAAGATATAATTCATTAAAATTAGTTTATGTATTAGGCATTATGGACTAACAAAGAACTAAACTTTATATCATTAATCTAGCTTAATGCTAATTTATGCACATACATTTTTTATGTCAAATTGCTGTAAAAATATTTTTTTTTCCAAACGGGTTTGTGAGGGAACTGCAGGGTGTTCATGAGATGATGAAAAGCTAGTAATTAATTCAATCATTAAATAAATAATTTTAAAATAAATTAAAAAAACGTAAAAAAACAAACAAACAGATTTTCATTAATCAATATTAGAGAACTGTGAACAAGCATGCATTGTTAAGTTATTGAAATATTAAATTAAAATCTCAAAGGTTATTTCAACGTATAGGTCAAATTGGGTTCTTCTGGCAAAACAGTTTGTGAATCCCTGCCTTACATAATGTTAACAAACTGAACCTCACTGTAAAGTGTTATGAATATTTAATATTTGTATGTTAATATTTAATGACTCAAAATCGGACACATTAAGATTTGCTTTTCCAACGTAACATGCTAGGTTATGTTCTGGACAACTGACATGCTCCTAAATGAATAGAGTAATAAGTGAATTAGTTTACAGATATGAAGAACTAGATAGATAACACCAGCATTGCTTGAGGATAAATGCCTATGATGTTGTGCCTATTCAACAGTGAATATGAGCAACAGATGCAAATGGTCAGGAGAGAAGATGATTTACCCTCTCTGGCCTTAAGCTGGAGTAGAAACAGATGGAAGACTCCCTGACTCTCCACGGGCACTGAACACATTAAAACACCTCTAAGCTACAGATGCTTTAACGCTACCTGTAGTGCTGAGCTAAATGCCTCTCGTTCAAGTACTTTCTCCTTGAGTTCATTCCCCCAGTTTCCATTTCCTCCGTAGTTTTGTCTCATAGTTTTGTTTTTGTGCTAGGATATGCTTATGATTGTTTGAATTTTCCATTATGTCCAGGTGATGGCAATGTTTTAACTGCCTGTGACCAGCGTGTGCAACTGAACTGCTTACAGCATTGTAAACATGAAGTCTGTTCCAAAACTGATAAAGCCAGTCCACAGCTTCTGTTTACACCAGGCTTAAGCACTGACATATGTTTTGGAAATGAACATCTGCTGAAGCAAGTGTTAATCCTATACACAGCCTATTTGACACCCAGGAATCTCTGATATGAAGCATGTTCCCCAATTTACCATGTGATCCAGCAAACTGGTTTTCAATACTATGCTGAACTTCTAAGCTCCACCACACTAAATATATTTATCTGGTCTAAAGCGTTAAGCAAGGCTTTTTTAGGGGCCGTATCTCGCAGATGACAAGAGGTAAATCTTTAATCATTGCACTTAGTGTCAGCAGATGCATCCCTACTTATCTATCAAAACCTGTAGATGTGGGTGCCTCAACACTGATGTAACACTCTTCCTTGATGAAAGGACCTCAAGATGATAGTATTTACATGAATGGCAGAGCCAAGCAGAGAAGGAGGGTGACTGTAGTGCCACCATGTGGTCCATGGGTTGTCTGAAGCAATCTTCAATGGAAAAGCTCATTCAAAGCCATTTGTTCTGGCCCACTTGGAATGATTGTCACAATTATTTAGCTCAATACAAAACTGTACTAAGCATGCAAAACAACTGATTTTTACTCCCCCTCAGGCTAATCAAGATGTAGATGAGTTTCTTCATTGGAACAGATTTGGAGAGATTTAGCATTACATTACTTGCTCACCAAAGGATTCTATGCAGTGAATGGGTGCCATCAGAATGAGAGTCCATCAATTAACATCTTGAGAAGTAAAAAGTTGTGAATTTGTAATAAACCAATCCATCATTAAGACATTTTTAACTTAAAGTACTAGTCTACAATCAATAATACTGTATTGCTTTCTCCAGTGAAAAAGTTGCAATATGCAGAGATCAAGCACCATTTACGAGCGAAAAACAGTCCAACAGAGTTCTAAACAAACATGTCATTTCACAAGACATCAACTGATGGACTGGAGTCGTGTGGTTTACTTGTGGATTATTGTGATGTTTTTATCAACTGTTTGAACTCTCATTCTGACATTCTGGCACCCATTCATTGCAGATGATCCATTGGTGAGCAAGTGATGCAATGCATTGTAAATCTGAAACTCAAGAAATTAAAGTCACGGTAAAACTCTGTTTTGGAACAGCACAACATTATATAACTATTTCTTGTCAAAGCATTTCCATACCACTACATGGCTAAACGCAGTGCAAGAGGGTCAACATGCAACAATAGAGAGTTAATAATGAGATTGTTGCTATGGCCACAAAATGCTTTAAATAGTTTGTAAGAAAAGGGTTTTTATGAAGAATATTTTTGGACTAAAAGTAAAAGAACCACAGTGTACTATGTCAACTGACCCGTAATTACCTACGTTAATTTGTCCTTTTTATGGGGCTGTCACTGATTAATTGTGCAAAGTTTTTTTTTTTTCAATGGCAGAGAAATTGTCCCTGACAAGTGATTTATAAAGGGAAAGAAAAAGACATGCTGAAACACCAACAGCTCTAATAATACAAGGTTTTGAGTTTAAATACTCTCTGCAGGGTTGTTCAAATTTGTTCACAGTAAGATTGCTGTATTTTCTTGGAAGCAGATCACAGATCTCCAGAAGGTGTGTGAAAATTGCTTCTGCGTTCACCCTCTCTTTAGAAGGCTATGTTTGACTCTGGCTGAATATAATTCAGAGAAAGAAATTACTGACTAGTCACTATAAGGACATTTTCATAATAAATGCAGGCTTTGTTGTACAAAATATACATTATGCTTATAGTCTGCATAGTTCTGAATAGAAGTAAACATGAGAGTGGCTAATTTTATCATTATCTAAGTTAACTATAGTGCATATAATCAAAAATCATTTCTCCGCAAACACTTTTACAGCATGCACAATTATTGTGGAGAGCTGATCGGCAGTTCTATCACTCAGTAAGACTCCTCATCAAATTATCATCACTTCAGGGCTAGGTTGAATACCACATCCTGTGCTCTCATTTTCCTCTTTGCATTTTCTTCATTAATTGTAATAAAGCATACAATGACATACATAACACACCAAACTATTCCTGTGCTCATCAGTTAAACCTGAATTAACTATAGACTATAGGCTAATAAAAAGCTTATGATTTCAAACAGAGGTTAAACGGTCTTTTAGAACGTTAGAAAAAAAAGGGCAGTGCTTTATTAGGAAATTGCAATATTACCACTTTAAAGATATGCTGAGGCGCTTCTGTGCACCTTGCCAAGATTTAAATGCACCTTATGCTATTCAATATGTCTGGAATGAGCTTGTACATCCATATTTTAACTACGGATATGCTTGAAAATTGCATATTATCAGATATAATCCCAGAAAATAAAAAAGAGATCACATCGAAAAAGCTTATTTCATTCAAGCCAAGGATCTAACAACCATTATCTGAAGTTCATCAACTCCTTTCTCACAGCCCTACTCTAGTATTAAAAATAAATCAATACGTTCACTGAGAATCTGTGAATTTTCAGGCCAAGCGCTGAAGTAGCAATCAGAGTAATAATGATGAAGAAGTCAGTGGAAATATTGTAGTCCCTGTCTGCACTTGCTATTGATTTGGATGGGCGAATGTGTGAACGTCGCACAGTGGAATCCATCTGTAAGCAGTACAAAAAACAAATGGAAATTGCCGTACAGTATTCTCGATGCTAGTTCCCTTATTATTATCCTGTGTAATTCTATCAACAGGATTAGCCTGACTGCATTCCTTTTCAAGGCTTTCTGCAGAGGCACAATCACATACATTTGCAGTCATCTTTTTTTATGATTAATTTCTAATAGATTTTTATTCTTTTCGAGTTTCGCATTTTTGGCATAAAAATAATGTCAAATCTAGATTGAACTCGTCGGAATTTTCAGGCCAAGCGCTGAAGTAGCAATCAGAGTAATAATGATGAAGAAGTCAGTGGAAATATTGTAGTCCCTGTCTGCACTTCCTATTGATTTGGATCCCCATAAACCAGGATGGGCGAATGTGTGAACGTCGCACAGTGGAATCCATCTGTAAGCAGTACAAAAAACAAATGGAAATTGCCGTACAGTATTCTCAGCCTGGTCTCATGTTTATACGTAGGTATAAATACGTAACATTTACAAGCACAAAACGTACACTTTTGTACGTTTTTAGTCATGC